CTCGCTGCAAGCCAGACGCCTACCTTAAACTATAGGGACCATAATATTACGGTTTAAGGTACATTGCTTAATTAAGGGATATTGGGTTCTCTGGGTTCCTCTGCTTGGGGTGGAGGGACCCGAGGCTCTTCACCCGCCATCCACCAAGGTCAAGGCTCCGTTCGACCCGTCGGCCAAGACCTCAGGATGGCAGGCAGGCTGAAGCGGAAAATAGGGGACCTTAATATAGCACCCTAAATAGTAGGGTTTTGGGTTTAGGGTTTAGGATCCTTATTATCAGAACCCCAAAATAAGCCTATAGTCTCCATTGTGGTTCCATTTTCGGTTTACCTTCTAGGGTCCTTAAAAATGAAATGGCTAAACCACAAAAAGGAACTACAAGTGAGACTGTAAGCCCTGATAACGTCTCCGAACGACGATGCAGGGCGAGGTCTGAGAAGACGAGCCAGGGACTGGGAGTTTTGAGGGAGGCACTGCGTGTGAGTAGTGCTTCTGGAGCCGACCTGGCACTGGGATCACTCGATCCCCCGAGAACCCAATACTATAATACCCCTTAATTTAGGAATAATACCTTAAACTATAGGGGCCATAATCTTATGATTTAAGGTATCTTGGTTATTTAAGTGGTATTGGGTTCTCTGAGTCCCTTAAGCCGCTCCGAGTCAGGGAATGCACACACGGCACAGACAGGACACCGGGGATCACAACACACAGTTCATCTCTTTCTTTTCACTCTCCGTCGCGACTGGTAGCGACCGCCGTCACTCTTCCGGGTGCCGGTGCAATGGCTTGCGGATGTCCACCCACACATACCTTTGTTGCCGCCCTTCGTGGCTACGCTCCCCAAGGTTCCAAAAGCTGCCTCTCTGACAGCTCTCCGCAGCAAAGCCTGTCTATCTGGTCCAAGGTGCTGCTCCGGGCCGCCAGACGGATGGGGCCGCAACTCAGCTCGAACTTCGCTGGACAGGTTGGAGGAGAGGAGCCACTGCGTTACGTCGGCACGCAGAGATGGGCTCCAGATCCTAAGCACAACGAGCAAGGGCACGAAACGGGGAAAGCCAGCAAGCCCAGGCACACGAAGTGTGGGCCGTCTGCTGAGTCTTCAATATCGAACCTTGGCTTTGGCTGTTTTGGCCACATGTGCTTAAGTATGCCATCGTGTGCCGCTCCAAACGCGCAAGCAGTCTTCATGCCGTCTCGGTGCGCCCACTGGTGTAGTCCTAGCTGGAAGTGTCCCGCCACACCTGGGTGGAAGTATGAGCAAGTATGGTAAGCGCTTCGACTTCTTGTACCTTTGCTTATCTTCCTGACCGCGTGCGCTCCAGATCCCCCTGTACTGCATGCGACTGCCACACCACTCTGCTTCTCGCCTCGTCCTGTTCTGTTCTCCACTCTTCAGTTCCGAGGTTTGTGATTCTGGCCGTGTGGGACACTGCGGGCAACATCAATGGACGAAGCAAGAGCAAAACAACTACGAGAACCAGCAGACATACCATTCCCGGGTGCAAGCTAAAAACACAATCCAAAAGAACGTGCCCACGACGGCTCGAAGCCTCCCTCGAAGACCGAGGGTATCTTGGAAAAGCGTTAGGGATATCTGCGTTGGAGGGAGGCGGATCGGAAGTGATGAAGTCAACGCGGTGCACCGCTTCCGTGACAAAAGACTCTGCCCTGTGGGCGCGGTCTTCAAACTCAATTCGGGGATACAAGATGCCAATAGGCATGCGGGGGCGGTGCTCCACACCACAAAAGACGAAAACACGGTTGACCTACACAAACAGCTCTGACAACCGACTGCGAAGCGTACCCTCGTTCCGGGCATGTCGAAGCAGCACCCAGCCACCTGGCCTTAGACGAGTGCGGACATGGGGAATTGCCAAATGTTCCGCTCGTTCATAGTAGTCCAAGGGAAGGGCCGGGCGACTTGCAGCATCTGCCGGATGCCCAGCAGCGGGTCGTTGGCGTGATCCAATGAGTTCCTGACTGCTGTCATGGACTGCTGGTATGGTGTATACCACAGACAAAGCGGTTGCAAGCTCAGGGTGCATGACTTGTACATCTGTTGCCTGTGACACACCCACATTAAATCATTGATGCCCATCAGCAAACCCAAAGCCGGCCCATAGCAACCGAACGAATGACTGCACCACTATTGCCACAAGCCAAACTAGCAGTCAATGGTCACTGCGGACCAGGTTCCGCACATGCACAACGTCAAAGTGATGCTGCGGGAAGCATTGGTGCAACAGCTCAGTAGGACATTGAGCCGGCACTGCAGGAGGCTCGTGCCCGAGGATGTCCTGCAGGTCACAGTGCATTGGCGTCTCTCTTTCCAGTTCTGGTCTATCGTTGCATACTACCGGGCGGGACTAGCACCTGTACATGCAGACAGGCCACATACAGCTGCATGTAGAATCTTGCCAAGCCGTCGGCTGCAACGACTGGGATTGCTTTGCCATCTTGACAAGCAATATCTTTGGGAGCCAGAGGCCCCGACCCAGCATTGAGCACCTGAAGCTTTGTATCGCCAATCAAGCCTTCAGCATGCATGACTGTCCACCTGAGGGCGCAGCACGTGGACGGCCAAATCGCTCGCCTGAAACTGCCCGTGCTGTTTCCACGAAGCTGCAGATGTCGCCGTAGTGCCAGCTGACGTGACCTTGCGAACACCGAACCATTCCGGCCAAAGTCCCAGATCGCCCCCGAGCTGAGCTTCAACAAATCATACTACAGTACTACTGTACAAGTAAGTGCCCAAAGGCTGACACGAAGCGTGTTGAAAGCGGTCGTGCCTTCTTCAAGCCAGGTCCGCGCACTTCGCCAGGCAGCGGGATCAACATCCGGATTGTTCTGCGTCTCCGGATCCATCAGCGCATGCCAGAAGCCGACTTCGGAATCCAAGCCTAAGCTCGCTCTCGGCGCAAAGGGCTGCGAAGGGCCGGGCAGGGCTGAGCCACCGACCTCGGACCCATCTTATCAGCAGCCTCAGTGAAATGGTTAGGGAAAAAATCGCATCACAGACGAGCCTGGGCCTAGTCAAGGCTTGAGCTGAGACCGCTAAGGCCGCAGCCTATCTAACGTTCGGCACACGCTGCCGGATTCTCCGGCTTGCAGCCGAGCCGGCGCACTGCAGGAAGAGGGGAAGTCAAATCGAAGGGCTCGCTGCCACTCGAAGTTGAACTGGTGCTCACCCTGGTGAGCATGCAACCTGGGCACACGAAGACGTGCCTAGGACTCCCCGGACCAGGCCATGGAAGCAGCCCCAATGATCCCAATGCATTAATGTAGGCACTAACGACGTTGGGAAGCACGGGGGAAGCAGGACCTTGCAACACGATACCTTGAAGGATTCGGAAACGCTGAAACAGCAGGATTGGCATGAGCTGGAGGATGCTGGAATGCATGGATTTGTGGTTGAGGCCTTCCACAGGACCTCGATCTGAAGTGTGCCAACGACAACAATCCACTGCGACTGTCTACTGTAGTTCGAAATACAAGAATCGAACTAATAAAACCGTGAAGGGTTGCAATCCTCAAGGTACTCAATAGCAAGTGCTGCTGCAGCCCGCAATTCTCTAATTTCAACGTTGTACCGCGCCTGATAATCCCGACTCTAAACTAGCTATCCTCTAGGCATCGGCCTTCGGTTCTGACGGAGTGCACCCGCACTAACTCCGCTGGCAGCTCGGACTTTGTAGCACAATGCTTTCAGTTGCAATGCATCGCGCGAGTTGGTCCCACGACAAGTCTGTGCATGATCTTGCCAGGCAAAGTTCCTCTTTGCGGAAACAGACAGGACTTAACATAAAGAAGATATCAACCTCGCACACACTGTAGCTCCGCGCACTGGAACGAACTTGTGCATCCAGGGCTCGCGGCTGCCACGAAACTCATCCGATTCCTGAGCGCATCAATAAGCACAGACCACTGAGGCCATCAGGGTTCATCGTTGCCAAGATGCGCCAGCACCTCCGCTACGGAGAAAGGCCAGTCTGATTCATCCAGACAGTGGACAGCCGTCGCCAGCAAGCGCGTCGCCGAGTCCATCCTTAGAGATCGTATACGCATGATTTAAGCATGTCCAATCGCTGCATCTCTGCAAGGGTCTGAACGGCAGGTAAAGACGAGCCTGTGCTCCTGGATCCAAGCAGCAGAAGTCGGATTTCGCTGACCCGGCCAGTGTCGGATGACTTGAAGGACTCTTCGACACCAGCTGCTAGACAACGGCCAGTTTTGCGGTAGTAGGTTCCTGAACTAGACGACCGCTGCTGATGCAAAGCATGCGGAACTGACACACAAATAATATCCCCAGCTTCCAAGGCTGCTGCTGTAGCCCTGCGCCACACCAGGAAGGACCAACCTAAGTCTGCAAGGATGAACATCCCATCCTGTGACTCTCTAAGGTTGAACCCATTGGCCATTAGTATGGGCCCTTAACCCTGGGATCTTTATACACCTACGGGTTCCTAGAAAGGCCTAAAGCCTAAATATTAGGGGCCCATACTTCTAACGTCAGAGACTCAGCCAACCCCGCTGAGAGGCTCGTCCGCTTGTGAAACGCACTTGTCCTTTAGATGGCAGCCGAAAGGTCCGTGAGCAACTGATGCACAATCCTCACCAAAAGGGGCGCAGCTGGTTCTACAGGCTCGAGAGTCATCTTATGTCATCCTGTCAATGCCCATCAAGACCCATCTCCAATTCAACCCAGGTGTCAGACCGCTGTTCGCAAAGCTGTAAGCACTCATTCGCTGGCATTCTCTTCAGAATGTCCTCCGCTGCTGCCAACAGCTCAGACGAAGTGCTCACCTCACGCGCTCGCCTCGATGGCATTGCCCTCGTCTTTCACCGGACGTTCCGTCCAGTACCATCCGGCCTGCCGCGTCTGCCTCATCTGCCTAGCATCGAATCGCAGCAGAAGCGCGACACGATGGCGGAGGGCAGAGAAGCTGAACATAGCTACGAGTAGTTTTGATGCCAGCCAAGTCGCAAGGCTATAGATTGGCTGCAAACGGCAGCCATAGCAACCAGTCCGGCGCTGCAGGTGCTCGGTGTGATCTGCGTGACCTCTCCTGTGGCCTGACCGTTACAGTCTCCGGACCGACCACAACCCTGAATGTCTCGCTGGCCTCGTCGATGCGCACAGCGCCGAAGAAGGCCGGATAAGCTTCGCCGCACAGCTCGTGGACCCAGGGCCTGAACTGCCGACTAGATTCCGAGAAATAGACCATGCCTTCCGACCTTTTTACCGCAGGAGCGGGCATGCTCTGAGGGCAGTGAGGGCAGTGCCTCGAGAAGCTTGCATCATCCCACAGGTTCTGGCCTCGTCTGTACTAGGATCCGGCTTCGCTTACAATCGGCCCTGAGGCGACGGCGCAACTCTGCGAGGAAGCTGCGCCACTTCAGGCCGCTGGGTGCCGCTCCCTCCGAGAAGTTTCAGTGATCGTGGCATAAGACGACAGCGAAACGTACAAATGTCATGCTGTTTGCTGCACCTGTCTCTGCATGCTGGTATTTAGAGGGTCGTGCATGCGCCACGGTCCCACCACACGGCTGACCCTCCGACGTCTCCATAGCCCAGTCTTGCCAAATCCAATTAAAGAAGCAGCGGTTTGTTTGGGCTTCCATCGCCTCGTGTACCCATAGAACTTCCATATGGGAACTCCATCTGGAGGCTCCCTCTCCCCGACGCAAGAAGAGAACCACAACCGCAAGCACACATCTTTTACGCGAAAGGACTATTTGAGGCGTGATCGATTTCTGTCCTCTTGGATAGTATATGCAGTATGCAATCGGTGCCCGACAGCTGCGCCCGCCTGGCAGTCGCACTCCTCAACCGGTAGCGCGGCATCCAAGAACGCGTCTCTCTCCTAAAACAGGTACGAACGTGCGCAGGTTGGAACGGAAACACATCGCAGCAAGTATCAAAAGAGACCAGGATGACCAACACAAAATCGTGCAGTGCAGTCTCCCAGAAACCGCCATAGCTAGTGGGATTCGAATACCTCGAGGCCATCCATCAGCTCAAGCTCACACTCTTGCTGGGAGCTTTGACTGTCGACAGCGATGCGCCGATGCAGCTCGATCTAATATGTCCCAGATGCACATATGCAGCAGTGCTGAGATGCATCTGCAAGGCAGCTCCCAAGCGAGCCCATGAGGCGGCAGTCTGCTACGAGGGCCCAAGCCAGGAGCTGCAAGAGCCAGGAACCCACACGGACAAAAACAGTCAGGGCGTCGAATCCAACCTAATCACTAACTCCACATCAGGTTGCAGGAGGCCCCCGAATTCACAGAACATGCCACCAAAAACCATGCTGCTGGCAGGCACACTTCGCCCACTGGCCTTCCATTGTGGCCAAGTCCCCATTTTCCAGAGATAACCTGGCAGCATCTGGCAATCTGCACAGGTGCGGACGCAGACGTTGAATTCTTACATGTTGCTATCATCCATGGCATTTTTTGAGGCAGCAGCTTTGTCTTCTGCGTCGGGGCATCATTGGGACGGAGCAAAAACGTGCGGGTCTTAGTGGCCGTAAGATTTTCTCCGGTGCCCTCATCGTTGCAAAACTGGCTACCTGGTGGTCTGGGTAGCAGGCCGCACCCAGAGACAAGGAGATGATGAGTGCATCCGTATGCTTTGCATCGAAGTATGGCCTCAAAACGCAAGGCCTTTGAGTCTGCTTGCTTGTTCAAGCCACTGCACCAAGCTGCTCATCATCTGCGTGCCAGCCAACAGAGTCACCACCGTCCTCAAGAACTGAGGACAGGTGCACTCAGAAAGACATAGCGATGGAGCATCATGCAGCACACCTCATACAGGTTGGCGTTGCACGAGTTTGGGCGTTCTGGCACTTCACAAGCGCGGCATACCTGACGGATGCTCACAAGGGTGAAGACCTTATGTGCGAGGCATTGGTTGCGCACCTCGTCTGTCAAATCAACGAACCACTGAGGCATCACCATGTTTGGCCATGATGTGCCACTGTACCGGTACCTGCAGACTCACAACTACAACTGCTTCACCTGAGGGCATGCCCCGAAAAAAAAGCACATTAGGAACTGAGTCAAGAACGTGCACGAGCAGCCGGCGGTCTCAGCACATGCAAGCACTGCATGCAGTGCAGGTACTCTTCAACTCAAGGCTGCTTGCTGGGGCCAGACTAAGCTTGTGGCCGTGAGCCAGCAAGCACTGCGAGGCAGTGGCCTTCCATGCGCCTGAAGAGAGCATGGAGAGGGGATAGAATGGAAGCTGCCCGATGACCAGGAAACTCACGGAAACGCTCTGCCTCTGGTCGCCCCCAATTCAAGCCGTTCAACAGCTGGTCGAACCTTGAAGAGGCACGGCACTTGCTCTGAGTCAACGTCAGTAACTCTACCAGGCTCATTGAGGGTACTTCGCTCCAGATCCCGCGGTGCTTTTGCATCTGATTTGTGCACGGCACGTGCGTTCTCCATGTTATGGTTGCCTCTCAGCGGGCATCAGTGCTATTCGTCTCGTTGGTCTCCTCCTGCAAGGACCAGGGCACGAAGGGCACGTAAGAGGCAGCTTCTTTCACCGTGTCCAGGACGGTATCGAAAAAGCTCTCATCCTGTGATCCAGCTGAGGAGGCTGGGGCCTTGGAAGCGGCCGGGGTTGCTTCGGAGCCCTGCGTGACCTCAGCGGCCCCTGCAGTTTCCCCTGCAGCCTTGGCTGCCTTTGTATTTGGCGTAGCTTGACCACCCGTCACAGCGCCGGGGCCTGCGGCTCCAGGTTCCGCTTCCGGCGCCACAGACTTCTCTGAAGCTTCTGAACTTGCCTTCGTACCTCCTTCTGTGGAAGAGGAACTTTCACGGCTCTTTGCCACAGACTTCGAGGTCGGAGCTGGGCTTGGGCTAGAACTCGCATCGCCTCCACGCACTTCTGCCACTTCTGCACTTCTTCTCGTCTGCCCAATGCTGGCTTCAGGACTCTGAGAGCGGCTTTCAGTGCCAAAGGCTCCTGTGCCCGATGCTACCGTTGCCGGTGCCGGTGCTGCAGCCATGCGAGTGGAGGGCACAGTTGCCGAAGCGACTGGCACGGATGCAGGCGTTAGCGGCGCTGGAACCGCTGGTGCTGGCACGGCTGCCGATTCTGCGGGCAACTTGCGGGGCAGAAGCGTGTCCATTCCGCCTCCAGCTTCTGGGCTTGGAGCAACTGCTGCCGGCTTTGACACACGTACAGGAAGAGGTACTGCGACCTGAGCTAACTGCATGTGGGAAAATCATGAGAAGCCTTACAGGCTAACAGGCTAACCCTGATCATCAGGCACATGCACTACAACTGCAGTCCTGCTGCGGGTCGCACTGGTACCGGTGGTGCTGGCGGTGGCTTCACCGGCGGGGGTACTGGTGCCGTCACTTTGCTCGTACGTGTTGGTTGAGCTGCCGCAGGCGCTGGCACCACAAATGATGGCTTTGAAACAGGCCTGAGCTCTTTGACTGGCGGTGGTGCTTCCGCTGTACGAGCAGGCGGTGCAGCATCTAGAGCAGGTGTGTCTAGACCTGTTGACACAGGTGCCGCAATGTCCGTCGAACCTGGCTGATACCGGTACTTCGTGACCTGGCTGGCGCGCAACAAATGTACGTGTCGTTCTCGTGATGATTTACAGTTCGGAAAGAAACCCTCTAATACAAGTAGCCCATCCGTTTACCTGGCCTGGCCGTCTGCATCGTGATCGTGAATGTGGATAACGATGTGAGAGCCATCCTTTGTCACCTGTGCCACGGCAGCACCAGCTGCAGCAGCCTCCTCAACAGACTTTCCATCTCTGATTGCATTGGCAGAGGCGGTTGCAGCTGCCTCTGCAGCTGCCGGAGTCATGCCCGCTTCGATGGCTTTTGCAGCCGATTCACTGGCCACCAGAGATGCCTTTCTGGAGTATCCAGCCTCCAACGTGCGCAGGGCGTTCATTCGGGCGATCTTGGCCGCTGCTGGCGTGTAACCGCTCAGCAATGCATTCTCGTAAATTGCCGCAGCTTGGCCGTGGTTCAGCGCCTTGTGAAAAGGCATCCCGTCAGTGAAGCCACGCAGAGCTTCCAGAGCCCCGGCATCGGCAGCGGCTGCGGGAAGGCCCAGCTGAAGGAGCTGCATCGTCGCATTGGCCATGAACAGGGACTGCTGCTCCGAGTGCCCTTGCTCCATTGATTTCAACACCGTCTTCACGCAGTGCTGCTTATGGTCTGCATCTACGTCTTCAAGCATTTTGCTGCAGATCTCCTCTGCACGTGCTTGGTTTGCACCCATCGGGGCAGCCGCCAGTACGGGGGCCGGAGCTGGTGCCACAGCCGCTGGTGGCTGCTGAGGCGGGGACTGTGTTGGTGTCGGGATGATGGCAAGGGGAATCATAGGCATCTGCATGGGATACATTGGCATCCAAGGGTTTGCAGCTCCCATAGGCAGGGAAACCATCACGGTGGGACCTGGTGGACCGGGCGGCCCGGGAGGGCCGTCTGGACCATCGGGCCCTGCATCTCCGACAGGCCCAACGTCACCGGGGTCTCCCGGTGGACCGGGGAAGGAGGCCCCCACCGGCGAGGATGCGAAAACCACTGCAGGAGCCGGAGCTGGTGCCTCGAGCTACGGAACAATAAAGGAACATGCAAGCAATTACAATTTCTAAAACAGTCACCGGCCGGCCTGAGACAGGCTCAGCAAGCTTCCACGCAGCTTTCCAGCATCCGCCGCATGGTGACTGAAAGAATGCACCTGGAGCCAGCAGCTCAGGAGCAGTGCCCAAATCAGCTGGGCACTGCACTTCATTGCGTGAGCCCTTTCTGCTCGACTCTAGCTGGATCCACGTTTGAGCCCGCCAGCGTGCACATGGTATCTAGCAGACTGTAGGCTGAACTCGAAGGCTGCAGCTCTGAGACCTGGTACTACCAGTAGGCCCCTAAGGAGCAGCCAGCAACAAAAAGTAAGAGCGACATGTGGACATGCTGCTGCCCTCCGGGAGTGTCTGGCCATGAGCGCAGCTGCTCGGGCTTGAAGGCCCCGCTCCTGTGCATCAAGAACTATGCGCTCTTGCTAACAGGCAGTGAGAGAAGCAGGCGACTGATATGACATCCGCATCCTTTTTGCTAGTCAGCAGGGGCCGGATGCCCCACGGGGTCACGCAATGTCACGCAACCAGTCTCTGCAGGATCAGTCGAACCTTGCCGGCTCCAAGAATCGCAAGAGAAGCACCGGCGATGAGGCCCACGAAGCATAGGCTGGAGCAGGACAGGGCTGCCAGAACGGCCGTGTCAACAAAGCTCATTTTGGCAAGAAGCGGGTCGTTGACATAACGCACGAAGATGTTCCTCACCGGCTGTGAGGATCCACCGAATGACGCCTGCTGTAGGCGAACGGCAGCTGCAAGGGTCTCCTCGCTGGGACCCGAGACCAGATCCCCCAGTAACGGGGGCAGGATGGCTGCCGGCTCAGGTCGGACAAGACCATATCGTGCGGATGGCTTCAGCGCATCATCGCAGTGGAAGTTGCCGCGCCAGCCACAGCAATTGATGCCATATGCGAACAAATTCACCGGTGTTTGCGGCTTCATTGATGCATCGACAATTGGTGCTAAGCAGATGACTGCGCCGTCAGCTGCAGATTGGAATCCAATGGATCTGGAGGCATCAACACCGCTTCCCACGGCAAAGTTGACAATGCCGGCATCCTTGCAAAAATTGCCGAATGTACAACATGGGAAACCGAAAAGAAAAACCACAAAACACCTTCTCAGTTGGTGCTCAAGCGTCAAGAATGCTTTCGGCCGGTTGCGAAGGAACAACGCTCGTATACGTTGCCGCACCCGTATAGTGGTAGTAGTAGACGGAGCTCGTAAAATAGATCAGACAACCTGCCATTGGCAAAATGCCCCAGGAACATCTAGCAAAAACTTGTGCGAGCCAACTTCGCAGGAAAACACAGCTTGCGCCTGAGACGAAACCCAAGACAGTAGAGGCCAGCATGAAGCGGCCCAGCCACAGCTGCCACGGCTCCTTGCGGTAGATTTTCAAGACCTTAGCTCTCGTCAGGCGTAGCTAGGAGGCTCGGACTTTGCTCATCTGCATCACTTCGCCTTCTCAGCTTCGAGCCCACATGCTCAACGCGAGGGTCAGACCGGCAAAGGAATAGACGAGCATCGGATGCCAGTACAGAAACTTGTTCACCAGGAAGAGCATGGCCTTGTCTACACTTGACATACAAAATCACACCTCGTCCTGAGGCTTTGGTGAGGTTCTTGTGAGCACCCCGCCACGAAAGCCAGCTGGGGGCCAGAGACCAGAACAAGCCTTGCAGATTCTCAACAAGTGGGCCATGCCGTGACAATACAATCACAGCTACAGTACAGTAGTACTGCTACTGCACAAGGGCTCCACAGGAGCCCTACTGCACTAAAACCAGCATGCACGGCAGCGTCATGGCGACAATACTCAGGTTTGCAGATCTCTGCAGCTCGGGAACAATCTCCAGGTGAATGTCTTGGGTGAAATCGACGCCTGGAACGCCTTCGTGATTTGTCACACAACTGGCTTTACTGACTATTGCGTACGGGGCTGCATGCGCGCCTGCTGCTTGGACGAAACCGAGACGAATTTGCTGCGTCCCAGTTCTCGGGCTTGCGAGAAACGAGCTTCCACATTGTTTCCACATCTGCTTTGAAACATGCAGCGTTCACCCGTTCATCCGAGGCGCTACCAAGGAGCGGCTGCGCCTCTTGCTCGCGTGCTTCGAGATCCATCCCGAACCTGCACGAGTTCTTGCACATGCTTTACACTCGGTGTGTGTGTGCGCGATCGCCCTTTGAATTTGCGACTCCAGAGTCGCGATGCATCTAGTTGCTTGATGGTCCTTCTGCAATTGCCCGCAAGTTTCCGGCGGATTCTGGCGGGCCGTGCTGACACAAGCTTCCAAGTGGTTGGAAGTTTCAAGGCCATTATGAGACACCATGCTGCTCTCCCCGAATGGAGCCTGTTGACTCCCAGACAAGGGATGGGAGTGGATGTTCGTCCATTTTCGGCTGAAGCAATGGACTTGGGTAATGATCAAGAAAATAATGACAAGTATATACCCTAAACTCTAAACCCTAAACCCTCTATTATGTACCTTTCTCTTCCTCCACCGCTGGTTCCCCGAAGGTTTCCGAGAGAGCGACGGAGCGAATCCCCCAACAAAATAAAAAATAAAAAACTGCCACAAACATTTGTCGATCTAGCTGTTTAGGGGTTTAGGGTTTGGGTTTGCGCTCTCGCAACTCGGACTCCGCCAGACGAGGTCTCTTGTGTCCAACTAGATTCTCCTCTACCAAAAGGTTTTTTTCCCACCCGCCCAGCTGACAAGTCGCACCGTACCAAAAGGTTTAGGGTTTAGGGTTTAGGGCTGCCTGTTTATGAAGTTGTCGGTGGCCATTGTCCGTACACAATGGCTTGCTATGCGCACATGCATGTGACATGTGTGTGTGTGTGTGCATGCACGCATGCATTCATATAGTAAGCTATGAATGCGTAATGTATATACGACTGTATGTATCGCACCCACCTAATGCGCTGCAATTCCACGTGCTGCAGCGCAATGAGATGCCATGGAAGGCAACCATGCAATGCCATAAAATTTGCGCTTGAACACATATGGGTATTTGCTCACTCTGTGTATCATGCAAGTATCTTATTTAAGGCTGCTTCATGTTTGCTTAGTTGTCTTCTGTTTGTGTGGAAGGCTCATACAATTCAAACTGCTATCTTTCTCTCGGTTCTTCCAGTGGGCTTCCACGACAGCAGCCTGGTGGGTGTGCCAGTCCAGGGCTTCAGTACACAGAAAGGAGCGGCTGGCTTGAGCCGCTGAAAAGGCCCCCGGAAGATGCATCCATGTTGGAACGAAGATTCTGGAAGCTAGGCAAGAAGCGAGGCGTCATCATGAATCATCATTGAATTTTTGAGTCTCGGGTTTCCACGCCCTGCACAGCATCTCCGCACCGAAGCACAGAGCAAAACAGCGCAAGCTGGCCCGCTCACCGCCGAATCTCAGCCTTTTTTGCATCAGGCCACTCCGGTAAAGGGTTCTGGCTTCTGCATGAACCTCAGTTCTAAGCAAACCTCTTGGACTTTTTCCGGTCGGCTCATCGGATCACTGCCGGAAAACATACATCGGACCCCAGCACGGGGAAGCCACCAGCATGTCGGGCGCCGATGATGGGCCGTTGAGGAAAGCGACTCCGGGTGCAAAGGCGGTCGTCTCACCGTCCTCGATGATGCCATTCTTGTTCGCATCCCGGATGAGGGTCATGTTGCCGCTGTGGGAGCTGGAAGCAATGACGACGCCCATCTTCGTGCTGATGAGAGGAATACCTTGATTGTCCGGAAGGCAAACTGGGTTCTCAACGCTTCCGAGCATAGCTCGTCGAGGGAAACCCTCCTCATCTCCGGCAGCTCCGAGATGGTCCCAGTCTGCCTCGTCCCAACGCCAGATCTTGGCACCAGTAGCCGCATCCAGCGCAATGACGGAGTTCTTCAGCGCAGTGACATTCAGCTTATGTCGAAGATCTGCATCTGCTAAATAGTGGCCCATCTCGGCCTCGTCGAGGATCAAAGGTGGCAGGGCAGTGTTTTGGCCAATGGCAGCTACCACCGCCAGGGGCCCTCCCTCGTAGAGATAACCCACCGCTGGAGACTGAGGGGAGTCGTAGGGTTTCTCAAGTTGAAAGCGCCAGGCAACTTCGCCGGTGGTGATGTTGTATGCAGTGATAAACATGTCAAGGCCCGGCTGCATAAAGCCCGCACTCTGACCGGCTTGCGGCAAGCCATGGGCAGAATAGAAAAGACCGTTGGGGCCTGCAGTACCACCTCCTGTGCCACACACACCGTCGATTCCGATTTTGTCGGCAGACTTCACCATCAACTGACCTTCCGCAGCAGAGATCCGATGAAAAACACCGCAACTGCTGGAGAAGGTTATGCTTTCGCCACCATCGGGAGTGGTTGGGGCCATATTCCACATGACATCGTCCGTGGTGTACGACCAAAGTAGGTCGCCCGTGGATGCATTCATGGCCAGCACGGAGTCACACCCGCCGCCCAAGGAGCGTGCCGTTACAGGCACGAAGAGCCGGTTTTTTGTCAGCAGGAGGGACGGGCTGTCTGCTCCGTAATCGAAGCCTGCGACGGTCTTGTTGATGACCACCTTGCCTGTCCCCATGTCCAGAGCATAAACGCGGCTATGGCCATTCCCACACCCCACTCGGAAGTATACCAAGCCATCACCTAAGACAGGCGAAGTGTGGCCGGGCTCGTCCTGATTGAAAAGCCACAGCAGCTTTCCCTCGGGGCTGAACTTTCGCAGTCGCAATGTTCCTGCGACGTAGATGTTCTTCTTGCCGTCGATCAACGGTGAATGCCGAATTTGCTCGTCGAGCTCATTATTCCACGTCCATGCCGGGTTCGAAAAGTCCTGCGGCATGTCCCACGAGATAGTGTTGCTGCCCAGCAAGTCTCCACCACGCTTGGAGTAGAAGTTGCCGAACTCGTCTGTGCCTGGTGTCGCCTTGCTGTTCTCCAGTTTGGAGATCTTCATCTGCACCCAGCTGGTCCCAGCGTCTTGGGAAGTTGCCAAGCAGTGCTCCTCCAAACAGTCCGCCCGACAGCTAAGGGTCCCGAGGGCCCATGCAAGGGCCTTTCTCATAGCCCGCAACACCAAAAAATGTAGGCTAGCAAGGATCTACGCTAGCACCCCCACGGGGAGCTTGGAGCCAAACTGGTTATGCGGTTCGAGCTTGCGGCTCAACCGTGCTGTGGCAAGGCTCGCACGGTTTAGGTTTGGGACATCCTCAGACGGTGTTGTCGCGCACATCCACTGCAATGCTCGGCAGCCACGTGCCTGTAAGACACCCAGCTCCTCCGCTTCTCGTCTGAAAGGACCGAAATCCAGCCACTGGATCGGCCTAACCAGACACTCCCGAGGACATCCGTACTGTTGAGGTCTGCCTGCTGCGCGCTTCCACCGCCTGGGCGCCGAACTGTTAGCCGCAATGGGTCCGATCCTGCCTGCAAACTTCAGCGGTGCCTGCCAAAGCGACACTCCCACCATTGCAAAGATCCGTGCTTAATTGCATCGAACCTCCTGCAGGCTCATTTCAGCAGCTGGCGAGGGCTGACGGGTCCGAGAGCTTGGAGGGCTCCTGCTCTCAAGTACTCTCACGCGTCATGTTGCCTGTGAAGGTGGACAGCACCTTGACAAAGGAACGCCAGGAGCCGGAATCAAAGCTAAGGAGCTGACTCCGGCACATCATGTGCTACCGTTTCAGCTACATGATCTGAATCCGGATTGCTGCTTCAACTTCCTGGTTTACACGTGCTTCTGGCCTTCGCATTTTGGCACATGTGCAGACTTGGCGAAGGGCACGAGCGTTGGCAAGAGCAATGTGCAGGAGGCTTGCACATGCTGCAAAGCAGCTCCTTGCCGTTGATGGCCTCCTGGTTCCAGCTGCACCTGACATGTGTCATTTCTCCTGCCTTTCTGCGAATCAGCCGCGCCCCTTCAACCGAAAAAGCAAAAACTCAAATCGAACCACGGTCGCTGCACTTCGACCGCGGGCAGTCCCTGCGGATCCAGCTCCAGCTGGAGTGCTTCTGTGCCTCTCACAAGTTCGGAGGACTACCCACGAGACCATCCACAAAAGAAGTTTTAGACAAATGCTTCGATCGTTTCGACTTCGAGTCTGCTGGCCTTGGCCGTGAAGTTCGCTTCATGGCTTTAGCTCTGCTACCGGACCGCTCGCGCCGCCTCACGGTTTCCAGAAGTGCAGCCGATTGCTCTTTCAAGCTCGCTCTCTCTGACACTCCCTGCCACCGTTGACGTGGCTTGCGCCCCAGGTGCCTGCTCCGCGTCCGCTCCGGACGAGGCTTGGCGTCGCTTGCGTCCTTCTTGCGAGACCTCGAGCGCTCGCGGCCTGGCATCTCACCACGCACACACCACATCGAAGAAGAAATGCTCCCGCAAACCGAATGCAGATGACATTCGGTAGCTGTTGCCACTGCGGCTCGCCACTTTTTTTCGCAAATGCAGTTGTGGGACGTCACAACCACTAGCTAGAGGCTCGACCTACCGATGCACGATAACCCCACAGTGCCACAGGGGCCTCTGCACATTGAAAACTACGAAGGCCCTGCGGACAAGTAGGGGTCAGCAGTCAGCAACTTCTCCGTCGCTTTCGCGGGTCGCGCCCCAAAACTGCAAAGCACGCCCAAATGCAACATCCGCAGGCTGCGCCACTCGCCGTGGCAATCCCCAATGGATGGCTGACCATGATTGTTTTTACTGCCGGCTGTGTGAAACCTAGGTATGCCCACAAACCATACATCCCCTTCTCCGGGACGGTGACGACAATGTGCTTCGTGGTTACCAGGCCAACCGCTGCGGAGGTGGCCGCAGCCCCAGAGACTGATGTCAGAAGTGCCACGTGGGTTGTCGCTCGTCGTACCTGGTAGCTGCCACCGTGGCCGTGCAGGCAGTCGTTGGCAAAGGTCTCGCAGTTGTAGAAAACAAGGCTATACTTGCGAGCTTCTGTGACAGCTGCCTCGGCCCTTGACAAGCAGCTCTCTGCGTCAAATGGCCTCTCATAGAGCTCATAGTGCCGAAGCTGCGTGTCAGAAAGAGTTTTTTGCACTACTCCGCCGGCTCGGAAAGAGTTCTCGATTATCACATGCCCGCCCACATCTCTTGCTTTGTAGATCACATGGTGATCGTACAGTTTTCCTGAGAACCTCCCGCCTTTCTTCCACAAGTGGTCCCCCGGCAAGAATGATCTGGTTTTTGCGGCAGGGTGCCGTGCAACTCCAGATCTCTGCAGCTCGTCGGTGCACACAGGCGCCGCAAACATGACAGGCAAACTCAACCTGATGTTGCAGCTCAACCTTTGAATTGTGTATCATCTCGTATCTTGCAGTACGATGTGATTGTGTCCAAAGAGGCTTGCTCTCATCAAGGTGGTGCTCTGGGATTTGCACAGGGCCTTTTCCGCTGGAGCAAATCTTGCATTCAGCACGCCGACATCAGATATGCGAGCTGAAAGCATCCATGCTAGGGAAGGCCTGGCCTCTCTCCCGATCACCATGAGACGTCTCTCCTCGACGCTCCCCTCGCAACCTGCAGGCAAGCTCCCGTCCATGGCCCATGACGAGCATCACCATGCGTATTGCTCGCCGGGCCTTGCAACCTTCTGCTGCTGCTTCTCCAAAAAACTCCTCGAGCACACGGTCAGTGTATAGCTAGTACATGTGGCCAGCGCATACCTGCTCAAGCTGTCTGGTTCTGAGTGCTTGACGCGGCTTTGGCAACCGCTGCGCTGAGATCAAGCTCTGACCTCAATTCGCTTGCCACCAAAACGCGGTGCTGCACAGAAGTCTTCAATTTCAAAGGTGCAAGCGATTCTGGCTTGCCACCCGCACTGTGACCTTGGAAACGGGGTAAAGGCGCAATAACTCCGCGAAAGCCCACAGTGGTCAAGCAGGTAATCCGAAAGATAGGAGGCCGTACCAGTCGCACGCGAAGAATCCGGTTGAGCATCCCCCTGAGCAGGCAGGTGTAGATCCTATGCCTCGCCCAGCCCGCCATTTTCCGCTTGGGAAACCCCTGTTTGGGGCCCATTATACTGTAATCATAATAAGGAACCCCGAAGTAGTATGAGTACTTATTTCGGCTTCTATGTTAGCAGACCCTGTAAAGCGTTTGGGGCCGCCACGACCGTTATTTTGTAAACCTTTCGGATGCCCAGTCCGATGGAGCCTTCAGTAACCAACATGTGGGGGAATCGCCGCCCGGCGACTAGGGCCCGGGTCACGAAGCCGGAAACCGACACATCACTATAATATAAGCACTCACGTCATCTCACGTCATTTATCCACGAAGCCACGCAAGTTGAGGACGGTAGAGCCAGGAAGAAAAGGAGAAGTCCTGGTAGAGAGGCGCCTGCGTCAAGCCAGTGAGGCCCGAGGCCCCGAGGCGCAGAAGCTCTTGCAAGGACCTCGGCGGGACTTCTTTGGGATCCCTCTGGGGGCCAAGTTTCAAGGGCCCCGGACATAGCAGAGGCATGAGTCAGAATGAGGCACCTTGCCTTGCGCCCCTTGACACCGTTGCAGCAGCCTTTGCTGCCTTTGAGCCGGATGAACAAGTCAAGCCGCAAAGTGCTTCAAGTGATTCAAAAGCTTCAAATCGAGCATGCTCACGGTGTCATTTATTTAAATTTATTTGTTTCCCGGCCGGGAGTCGCGTGGGTCTGACAAAGTCTGACAGCATGATGCTGCAGGCCGCTAGGAAAATGGCCTGAACACGAGCTTTGTATATTGCTTTGTGCTTCCCAGTATGGGTGAAGTTTACAGTTTTTGCGCTCAACTAACAGCTGCAACGAAGCCTGAAAGCCTTCCCAAAACTCTATTGTCAGAGCAAGTTGAGCGAAAAAGAACCAAGTGGTGACTCCAAGCAAAGCAAGGAGAAAGCTACGTTATGCCAAGGTATCAATTGACTTAACGTGCATGACAACGTTACTCCTACGAGTGTCTTGCAAGCCGTGCTTTACTGTCTACATCTGCTGTGTTTCCGATGCTCAAGGGTCCACAAGCTCATGGCTTTACCGATGTCATCACTGCGTCGCACCACCAGTGGAAGCAGCCAAGCACCTGTGACATGCTGTGCAGCGAAGTGAAAGCAGACAAGGTCATTGGGGCACGCGCACCTAGTAGCCCTGAACTGCTTGAGTGGTTCTGTCCGGAAACGCTTCGTCCATCCTAGGCGTGCAAATCGGTTCAAGCGGGGACTTCGATTGGGGCGGCTTCCCAAGCTCACAACGCTCGATCTGCCCAATACCGGATCGTGTCGTCCACTTGGATGAGATCGAGCTCCTAATTCGTTAGGGGCAGGCGGCAAGAAGCGCAGCCAGCAATCATTGTTTTTTCTTTTGCCTCGTCTTGTCTTGCGATGGCAAAAATTAAGCCTCTACGCCTGCCTCCTACACAGCCATACGTCACCCATCCGGGCCTGCTTGAAAACTGTCTTGACGGAAATCAGAATCTCTCGCTCAGCACGTCGAAGGCCAGCCTTGGACATGAGCTGCCAACTGTCCACATGAGTGAGTGAGTGGGTGAGTGACTGAGTGAGGGAGGGAGTGACTGACTGACTGAGTGACTGGGTGGGTGGGTGGGTGAGTGACTGGAGCGGGTTGGCGTGGGGTGGAGTAGAGTGGAGTGGAGCGGAGGGGAGGGGAGTGGAGTGCGTGTACTTGCATGCGGGCGAAAACGCGTGCGGGCGCTCGCGCATTCGTCGGGCGGGCAGGCGCGTGTCGGTCGGACGTCAGCAATGACAAACCTTAAGGAAAAACAAGTCCGGCATCAAGCAAGCCAATGTGGCACAGCGACCGAACGGCGAGCACGTGCCAGATCGTCCCTGTGTTTTTGCAATCCACCTTCGTGATGATGCATGCCAGGCAAGATTTCATGCCTGAAATGGTGGCTCCATCTCCCAACCGGGGATCTAAGAGGGTGGGGCTGGTCAGCTCGTGTCAACGAGTCGCCACCCCGTGGTTCAACGGCTAGGGCTGTCTGAGACTTCTGGCCCCGGGCCTGGCCCTATACGATTCAGTTGCATGCGCGTTGCGCACGACCTCCTGCATTTTGTCAGGTAGGCCAGTGCGCTATGGTACAAAGAAGACTTTGCGTTGCAGGAATGCTGCCAGGCTCTGCATTCTTGTTGCAGCTTCATCTGCGTCCCATAGTCATAGTCCCATGCTGCACTTGCTGTGGGGTCTGGTAAGTCCATCGAAAATCCCTCATATCCGGATGGCCTAGAGCCGTGGACTGGGATGGCGTAGCTGCACGGTGCGTGTGCAGCATATATGGGACCATGGCAGGAGCCTGTGCCCAGCGCACCGGCGGCGGACTGCCTCCGATTCCCTGGGCCAAGACTGGTTGCGGCACTGCCGGCACTCGGGCAGAGCAAGGCTCGGGAACGGGTCCACGTGGGGAGGGCACTGCAAAAGAGCAACCCACGGGGAGCGACAGAGTCTTTGCTTGGTTCTCTGCCCTTCCTGACTGGGGTGGAGAAACACTGGAAGCCACATCGCTCAGCTGACCCAACCGCAGTTGCGGTATCAAAACATTGCCCGCCTGCCCTCTAACTTCTCGTCCCGCCGGCACACTCGCTGATGCAGCGGCAATGGGGGTTGCTGGAATTCCGCACAACCTTGCACCCGATGCACCCTGAGTGCTCAGTGCCTGCTTCTGCCTTTGCAGCTGCATGACCTCCGCCATCAGCGCATCCTTTTGCTGCTGTAGCTCGCTCGTTTCGACGCGAAGCCGATCGTTCCGAACTGACTGTGCCTCCGGAAACTCGTAACGTGGCAAGGTCTCAACTTTGGCCTGCAGGCTGCTGATCAGGCTCTCCAGCTGCGACAATCGATGTGCATCCACTTTGTGAAGACCAGCGGCATCATCCAAACTGACCTGTTCGCCGTGGTAGGCTGACTGCAAGTCTCGCTGCTGCAAGGCACTGTGCATGCCCTGGACTTTGTCGCAAAGGCGCTCCACGATCCTGCTCTCGATGCTCTGGTGGTGCATTGGAACTGTGGTCGCAGCACTTGCGGTGTCGGCTGAGCCTTCACCTTCATCGGATTGGGAAGTCGCTGGATGTTGGGCATAAGAATATGACTCACAAGAGCGTTTACGGTCATCATCAGGCTGGGATGCAATCTTGCTGATCTCGTCACTTAGTTGTTGAAGAATCTGTTCAAGTCGATTCTTGGAGCTGGGTGCGGCTCTTTGCGCCAGCAAGGCAAAATCCAGTCCGAGCAGATTCTTGCCCACTTCAACTGGCGCACTCGCATCCTTTCCTTTCGTGAGCTTGCTTGTTGGGCTTGCCTTCCGCCCACGGCCGGAGACAGCGCCTGCAGCACCGTCAGCGCGAGCATGTGCCTTTGCACGACTTGGAAGGGAGGTTCGCCTGCCCAACCCCGACTTGGCTGCCTCTTCGATGTGCTGCAGGTTTGCCGTGCTGACAGGCACCTCATGAGCTTTTTTCATGGATAGCGAGCTTGATGTTCCTGGCGCTTCTGCCTGTCGGATGCCTGCTGGCCTCTCTCGCCCGCCTGGGTCCCTGGTCTTTGGGGAAGTTCCATAGCTCGCTCGCCTGTTGTTGCTGGCCGATGCATAGCTCCCAGACATGGCGACGGAGACAACTCACGACATAGCGCCATGCGCTTGATCCCTGGGATGGCTATGAATGAAGGCTGGCGAGCTCCGTCAGAGCAAGCTTACATAACTGTCCTGCTTTCTCGCTGAAACAAAGAAAGTCTGGCTTGACAGAATCAGGTTTGCAGATTTCCAAACTCGGACAGATTCCATCAATTTGTTTTCGGCCCATTCCTCGTATGCTCCCACTAATTCTCCGAATCCCGATTGCAACGGTTTCCTGTGCAAGCCTCAGTTCATGTCTGAAAGCCCATGCTAGTGAAATCTAGTTATTAGGCCCGACTTGCCACTTCATTCGCGGGGCTCCATGGATTTGCCCGGCGCATAGCCCCTATGCATGTAGCAGACTCCATCTGCGCTAGAATCCTAATTGAAAGAAGGGTTCAATATAAACCAGATCAGACTTCTCTGGGTTATCCCTATAGTCTCCATTGTAGTTCCTTTTTGGGGATACCTTATAAAATCCTTAATACATATTTGGTTAAACCAAAAAAAGGAACTACAATGGAGACTATAGGTCTTTGTGAGTTTGCATCCCGGGGTCTTGAAAGCATGCCGGGCTGAGCACTACACACACTCCTCCCAAAACTGCAGCCTATGCAGCGAAATTGTGCAGGCCTCACTACAACCTTCATGACTGCACCATCCCGCAAAATCCGTAATTTCCATGCACCTTAAAGTACCGATCCTAGAAGCGGCGTAGTGGACTTGCGGTATGGATGCGCTAGAACGTGATAACGTGAGAGATAAAACAACATGGACATCGAAAGCAGCAGCTTAGAATACCTTGAGCACCCTGACCCAAACCATGCAATTTTAAATTGGCCTCTGTCGGAAAAGAAGAAGCGACAAAACGCGACTAGGGAGCCTCGCTCGAATCGAACGACGAAAATGGCTTGAAACTGCAATGCCGGACATTCGACGAGGTGTGCGAGACCACAGCCTGCGCCCTCCACAAGGCATGATGCACTATCCAAGTCCTGAAAGTAGTCGAAACTGAGCTCAAGGCCGCAGCCTTCGCAAGGCTACTTGACGGAATAGAGTCAGGATCAGCTTCTTCGGCTTCCTGTGGCAGTGCAATTTTGCTATACGTTCCTGAGCACTTTCTCTGACACAAGGAAAGGAAAACGGAGCAACAACAACTTCTTTGTGCAAAAAAGACAAAAGTTAGGCAGTTAGCCAGATTACAGGAGGCAGATTATGCGTATCTGCCTCCAGGCCGCATCCTTTTTGTTTCTTGTTGCATGTTGGTGGAGGCCCCCCTAATCTTTGATTGCGGGCGCCCGGCTGCTCAGAAAACCAACAACTACAAGCTATGTCGAGCACCCAGCGCGGGTGCGGCCCAGGCAAGCACAAGCCGCTTCACCGGGGCTCGGGGACCCGAAGCAGCTCAAATTCCGGGACAAGACGATACCACAAGCTGCAACGCACCGCAGAGTCGAGATGGGTGCTTTGCCATCTCAATTCGCCTTCTCAAGCCAGGCGTGCTTCAGAACTTCCTCTGCTTCTGGCCTTTTCTTTGCGTCTCCAGCCAGAAGGCAGGTGATAAGATCCTCACTCAGTACACAGAACAGTAAACTGCCCTGACAATGCTAAAGGCCATGCATGGCCATGCCAACGGTTAACGAAGATCAAAACTGAGATTGGCACCTGCACTTCGGTCGAAAGCCTCAGGAAAACACTGCCGCCGCGACCAAATTGCACATGCGGCAGCCAAGCCTGGCGGCAAATCTTGCAGGCAAAGGGCGCTGAAAATCCGGCAGGCTTGTAGAAGCGACCTTGTTGGCGAGCTTGGATGCCCGCCGGTGTCTGGGAATCATCGTGGAAGGGCGGGCACTGCATCAGCATCAAGTAGAGCGTACAACCAACGCGCCACATGTCTGTTGCAAAGGTGGGGAATACGTTCTTGGCAGTGCCGAGCTCTGGGGGCATGTAGCGGTCTTGCACTATGCATGCCCTCGTCTCCGACTCTTCGTGCACGAACTCCCGGAAGCAGGAACAGCCAAAGTCGATCAACTTCCTTGGTTTCTAAGCTGTGTAAGAATATGCCTCTGTAGCCCCTGGAGGATCCCAAAATAGCCCCAAAGACTTCCACAACTGAGGTTTCCACAGGTGGGCGGTCCCGTCCTCGATGTTGCCAAGAACCATGGCATTCTCGGGTTTGATGTCACAGTGTATGACGTCGTGGGCATGCAGATGCTGAAGTCCTTGCACAAGGTCCCGAAACAGCGGGCGTGCTTGCTCTTCTGTCAGCTTCTGCGCACATATAATGTCGAAGAGGTCTTTGCCTGCAATGGCTGACAAGTATGCTTCCTCAAAAAACCCGCACCTTAATACAACCCTGTTCAGAAAAACAAAGAACAAAAACCTGCACTTAAGGGAGCTTTTAGTTTTTGCCCATGCCTGCCAGCAGCTCCATCAGCACGAAGATCGTGGTCTCTGACTCGATCACGCGCTCGTAGCTCACAATCCGAGGATGCCTGCCGACCTGCAGACGATGTGCATAGAGGTCATGGAGAATGGAACGCCTTTGTCTCAGATTGCCCATGGTGTACATCTTCAAAGCGAACTCTTCTCCGGTCTCCAGCTCTTTACATCGGTAAGCAGAATCACGTCCTTCTCCGATCTTTTGGTTCTTGGATGTTTCAAAGAGGAGCAGCTTGCCATTATCGATGGTCCCGAAAGTAATCGTATCCTTGGCAGTGACACGAACAAAGCAGATCCCATGTGATACAGGGAACGCGGCCTTGTGCGGGGAAGGAGCGAGACTAAAACCCACACTGGACGTCTGGCAGAAGCCTTGCTGAGCACCATCCTTGTCAAACCGCATCCTCCCGCTCCCACTGAAAGCATCAAGACCTCCAGAAACAGGGAGACGCGACGCTACGCCCCGGCACATTTCTATCAGCTTTGAAGTTCCGGCGTGGGCGGTGCCTTTGATGCAGTTCATCATGCTGGCCATTTTCGACTTGACATTGTTGGTTTGCTTCATAGCCTGCAGAGACCATCAGCACAAGCCGTGTCAGCGAAGAGGGAGGCTGAAATGCCGGCCTCCTTTGCGGCTTCTTGCCACTGATGCACTTCTGTCTGAAGCTGGTCAGTGGTCACCTTCTGCTTCTGCATGACCACGTCTAGGCGCGAGGAAAGGCCTCAAACTTGACAACACAACAAGCGACTGCAAGTGAGAAGGTGCAGTGCGGCCAAGGATCGCTTTCGCTCCTCGGTTTTGTCGCTTGCACTTCCAAGCTGCTGTAGGCTATTCTCCAATCTGGTACGCTCTTTCGACAGTGTGGACAGCTGGCCATCCAGCTTCTGGCATTTGCTTTCCATGCGGTGGAATTGGATAGCTCCCCGGAAAGAGCTCTGAAGCCAGCGCTTCTCCATGGCGTTTGACTGACCGACCATGTAGTACAGACCAGTGCCAGCAACTGCACACAGAAATAAATCGAAAAGCCAGCTGTATCCGGATGACGCTGCCTCGTGGATCTTTTGGGAGACGGCAGGCAGGCCCGAAACGATTCGAAGAATCTGTGTCAGCTCCACCCCGTCAAAGCCGTCGCCTTCGTCGTCCACTCGACCAAACAGTCGCATTACTTGGTCCTCGCACGAGGGAAGTGTTCTAAAATAGGGTCCTTTTTGGGGTCCTTTTTATAAGGGTGCCGTACTATATTGGGAACCTAATAAGGGACACTAATTTAGAGAACCGCCCACGAAGATCCGCAACTCTTGCGGCAGGGTAAAAGTTGTGGCTTCAGCATGCAACAGGAAGCCTGGTTGCAGGCAACCTCGTTTCGCAGGTCTATACTCCCAATGCCGCAAAAATGACGAGCGCACCCTTTCCAAGGCACTTCTGGGCCGCAAGAAACTCGTTGAAGAAGCGATGAGGGAGCGTGGGCAGGGTACTTCTAGGGTTGCACTACCAGCTACGCTCAGCTGACGACATTACATGACATTACCAGTATTTTCCCATCCTGGCCCATGTCCACCCCGTTTGCTTGCAGAAGCGAGGCCAGCTCCTGGCAAAAATGCGCCAAAGCCACGAAACGAATGGACGTATTCCGAACCACGGTCCTTCGAGGAAAGGTGCTGATCTTGTCCGACATCGAAAGCTGCAATGAGGTCTGTTGTTCGTCGCCGTTCTTGTACCTCGACCAAGCATAACGGACTCAGAAAGTGGCCCTGGAGCTGGCAAAGCGTCCAGATTTTATTTGGGGCGTGTGTGATGTGCAGTGCGTTCAAACAGGACCTAAATTTCAGAAACACGCCTGATGCCACGCCGCTCCGGCAACACATGCCCCAAAGACCGCAAATGCTGCGACATTGCGTGGTTTCTTGACTTCCCGAGCCACCTCACGGGGCGAGCTTCCTGCGACTGCACAAGGCCAACGCGCAGCTCGATAAGGTTTTTTAAGATCCTGGCATTCTTCGATATACCTCTTCTCGACGGTGACACTGGCTCCTCTGTTGTAGCACTTTGCCTGGAAAGCGACGCAACTGGCAACCTTTTCTTCAGAGGCGACGTCGGGCTCGAATCGGTTGACCCCTTCTCCATGTCTATGCACAACGGCTCCCATCGCTGATCTCGAGAGAAATCAGCTTCAGGCGGTTAGGTCACGATTGAGGTCTGGCACCACACGGGCGTGCGCTGAGTGCTATGTTAGAAATATCGGCCTCCGCCGCGTCAAACCGCTTCAACCACCGATTGCACTCGTCGATGGCGGTTTGGCAGACATCGATCTGCAATGTGCTGGCTCCAGAAGTTGTGTTATGGGATTTTGTTCACGGTTTCCCAATGCTGCGGTATTGTTGGGGGTTTATTGTATGGTAGAACCAATGCATGCAAAAAATCGTGGTGAGACTCCTGACGCAGTGCTTCAAATGGGTCCGCAACCGTAGATGGTTGAAGACAGTATGCAGTATGCAGAGTGTGCCGAGCAAGGCTTGCCATGCCTCGTTGTTCCGGGAGATGCGAAAGTTGCAGTTGTACCAGAACCGGTTCACATAGACCTCAGTGGAACCACAGCAAAACTGGCCTCAACAGCCTAGGGTGTTCAACAGCACTCCTCGCCTGGCAGCATTTGTTTCGCGCTGGTCCCAAACACACCCGTGTGACTCGCAACAGATGCAAGACAAGCTAGGCTGCATGCAGCATCCAATAGAAAGGAGTCCGTACCATCGCAGCACTTAAAGCGGAGCAAGTGGACCATCTGGCACAAGAATTAGAATGCAGAGCTGGATTTCACCCAAAAGCCGATGCCTTCTCAAGCTCGGACTTGGAATCCCAATCCTCCGACTCTCGTGGCGACAGGATTCCTTCACTGGACAGGGCTGCACTGCCCTGACGACGAGCTGAGTCAGCGAGAGCCCCGTCCTTCGCTCAAGCTGAAGACAAAGGACATGGGGGCCGTCGTGAGCCCCAAATCCTCTTCAGCTTCCTATATCTTTGTAGAACGAATCGCGGCACAGGCCTTAATCGGCTTCTTAGTTTGATGGCGCTGTGCACTGTACGGCGTCATGGTTCGGACTGCAAAGGGTGGCGTCTCTCCTCGAGGCAGCTCTCCTTGACGCCGCCGAAGTCGTCCTGCGCAGAAACAGGCTTCGTCTGCGCCATGGACAGCGGCTCGGCAAGCTTTCCTCATCCTCATCCACCGGCGCAAAGCACAGCCGCGCCGCCGACTGACAAACTACGCCAAGGCGCGAGACACGAGACACTTAGAGTATGGAAGGTCTGTACACTGCCTCCGCCAGCTCACCCTGCAGCCACTGGGGCCTCCAAGAGGACTTGCTCCCTGAAAACCCATCCTCGCAGCCAGGCGCCGCGCACGAAGCCGAAGCGCTCCAGGAAGCCTCCGCCATGTGGCTGTGGCCTTGGCTCTGCCCCCAGACCAGACACAACGAGCCACGGCTGCACGTGCCAACTGTGGGAAGGGCAAGTAGGCTGCCGTCAGCTCCGTTCCAACCTCCCAGGACGGGGAAATTGACAGAGTACGATCAGGACCTGTCGGAGAGTCGGAGCCTCAATGTCCTCGATGGCCACGACGTTGATGCCCATCTGAGATCATCTATGAGAAACCCACCGAGCCCAGTCCATCCAAGCCCCTACAGTAGCAGGCCCGCAACTCCCAGGATTAAGCAACTTCCAAAGGCATGAAAAGACAGGGGTGCAGGCGGCCGCCCTTGAGCTGCAGCACTGTACTGTAGGATCCTAGAACTGCCTCTAATCGAAAACATGCCACCATGTTTACACACCCCGAAAGTCTAAGAATACAGAGAAGCCTCCCGTATCGTGGCCACCAAGGCACGAAGCGCTCGGGCCCAGAGCCACCGAGACCCATTACGGCACCCTCCTGTCGGGAATGCAGCGAGCTCTGGACTCTTGACTCCTTCGGTCGTAGGGCTACGGCAGGCAAGGCCAGTGGCCAGTGCCGGGCCTTAGCATAGTAAGGCTTCAGCTGCACCACCGGCTCTTCCGCCGCCTGCGCGACGAGGACATGAAGGCAGAGACATCGAGTGAGTCCAGGATGCGGCAGGCCTGCAGAAGATCAACGCCGAGGGCCAAGAGAGGCCTGCAGGAAAGGTGCGAAGGTGAAGCGAGTGAAGCGAATCTCCCAACGTCTCCCGGTTCCACCACCTTCCGTCACGATCTTCGCAAAGAGATCTCGACCTCGGAGCCCCAGCAAGGATTCGTCGGCCCAAGCTGCACAGCGTCGTGGCTCTGGCATGGTCAATGCTAGGGAGTCCGTCCACTCCTAGCGCCGGAAGCTCCCCGGAATGACAACTGCAGCTCGGAGTAGACTCTGCCCCAGCCTCGAGGGTCGTGCTTCCCTGCAACTGCTCCATGTCGTCTCTAACCTGCTCATCAAAAGCTCTTTGGCAAGTTCAGACGCTTGCATCCAGCACCTGCAGAGCCGTGCCGGACATCTGGCCGCCGCAAGTCGTGCAACTCCTCCGGTTGTCAGATGTTTTCGACTCTCCCCACTGAGCCAGCAGGCAGGGGAACATGGTGTCGAAGGGCGGTCCAGAGATACTTCGCCAGCTGTGGATCTGTTAGCAGCAATTTCAGCCTTAACTTGCTCACAATTGCTGGAGACGTCTTTGGACCTAGGGATCATGCAATCCAACACACAGTAAAAAAAGAACCCAGATCGCAAAGCTGCGGCCAGGGCGGGTGGGTGTCAGGTGCGCTGACTCCGCTGTTGATCCAGTCCTTCCAAGCACTCGGCCTGATGATTCCGGGACAGAGGGGACAGAGGCAAAAAAGCGACCACATAGCACGAAGAAGAATGCTTCCCGATGGCGCAAGAAAGCCTAGCTTCTGATTACAGCTACAGCATGTTTCTGTGGGAGAGAGTGTGGCCTATATTTTTGTGTACATGCAACATACTTCTTTACTGAGTTATTTTACTTGTTGATATATTCAAACATTCTGTATGTGCGTATTAGTAAGCATTCATAAACGCGGGCGGCATGCTGGCGCGGCACGACGAAAGGCACGACGTACCTTTCTGATGGGAGGCGCCAGTGTCATTATCTGACACGCATGTTTGCGACGTGTAGTGAGACTTCTATATGTTACACCGACACTTTGTCGGCATTTGGCACACCAGGCTCGACATCCCAAGCGTAACCCAAGAAATCTGCTTCAACTCACTGAGCTCACTACGTCAAGCCTTGTGCGCAACAGAGGCAGTTAGCTCCGAAAGCTTCTGAATCGCTTCCGAGTGCTCTGGAGGCGAGGTCCCGCTCCGTAGCTGCTCAAAGTCCAGCAGATTCTGGACCTTCCGGTTTAGGGTTTTGGGTTTAAGGGTTTCGACTCACACACTCG